GTGCGTCATCGTTGCGCCGCCGGGCAGCAAAAACAGCCCCGTCCCAGGCCTGCGTCATGGTGGCCCCGTCCTGCTGCGCCCCGCTGCTGCGCTTCCCCTGCCCCACCCTGCCCGCCTCTGTCTCTCCCTCTTCACCACCGGCCACACTCACTGGCTCTCCGTGTCGCTCTCGTGTTCCACTCTCCCAAGCGCCCACTCTGCACCCAGCTCCTGGGCAGCACCCGCTTTATAACCCACCCCCCCGGGGCAGATTACACCCCCCAGCCCCAGAGCCAGATCCCCCAAAAGCTCTTGATCCTTTAATTGGGCTCCAGGTTTAGCCCTCCTCCCCCCGACCCCGATCTCCCAGCCCCTCGCACAGCGACTCCCCAGTGCTGTGCGTCACACACGCTGACTTTGCCGGACACTTCAGGTGAGAGATCAGGGGGGCTGATTAGAGGGAGCCCAGAGCTAATCCCCTTTGAGCGTGGCCCAGCTCTGCAATTTCCTAATGGCCCATTTTCCTAACTAGGCCACAGACACCTGCCGGCCCATTTCCCCGCACAGCCGGACCGACTGTTTGTCAGTGACAGGGAGGTGGGGAGACCAGCTTCTCGACATACCCCGTCACCCACATCCCACCGCATCCTTTCATCTGCATTCAACCCATCCCCTGCACACACACCCCATCACAGGCTGTCCCCCAGACCTTATGGCATTTCCTCACCTGCTCGTGTCACCTGCACACACAACCTGTCACCCGTCCTCATCACACCCCATCATCCACACCCCACTGCATCCTGTAACCAGCATTCACCCCATCCCCTGCACACACATCCTGTTACCCACACCTCATCACCTGCACTCTTCCTCTCACCTACACAACCCCCATACCACCTACACCCCATATGCACACACACACTCTGTCACCCTCACACACCCCATCGAGGTCATCAAATCCAGTCCTCCGCCCGCACGGAAGGACCAAACCCCATCTAGACCATCCCTGCCAGGTGTCTGTCCAACCTGCTCTTCAGTATCCCCAGAGATGAAGACTCCACAACCTGCCCAGACAATTTTATCTACTGTTTAACCACCCTGCCAGGCAGGTAGTTTTTCCCAATGTCCAACCTCAACCTCCCTGGCTGCAGTTTAAGCCCACTGCTGCTTGTCCTGTCCTCAGAGGCCAACGAGAACAATTTTTCTCCCTCCTCTTTGTAACATCCTTTTAGATACCTGAAAACCGCTTTCATGTCCCCTCTCTGGGTATGTCTACACTACCACCCTAGTTCGAACTAGGGTGGTAATGTAGGCAACTGGAGTTGCAAATGAAGCCCGGGATTTGAATTTCCCGGGCTTCATTTGCATAAAGCCGGGCACCGCCATTTTTAAATGTCCGCTAGTGCGGACTCCGTGCCCGAGGCTACACGTGGCACGGACTAGGTAGTTCGGACTAGGCTTCCTAATCCGAACTACCGTTACTCCTCGTGAAACCTGATTCTTTCAGTCTGCCCTCACAGGTCCTGCCTTGAGGGCGGGGGGCTGGACTCGATGACCTCTCGAGGTCCCTTCCAGTCCTATGATTCTATGTTTTCCAGACTGTTAATCATTTTTAAAAACAAGCATTCCTGTGGCACCTTAGAGACTAACATGGCTACCTCTCGGAGACTTTTATCATTTTTGTTGCTATTCTCTTGACTTTTTCCATGTTGTCCACATCTTCCCTGAAATGTGGCACCGAGAACTGGACACAACACTTGGAGGCCTATTCAGGACAGAGCAGAGCGGAAGACTGACTTCTCATGTCTTACTCACAACACTCCTGCTAATACATCCCATCCCATTCCCTGCACACACACACTGTCATCTGCATTCTGTCACCCTCACACCCTGTCACTTATACCTCAGCACAACCTGTTACCCTCACATACCTTGTCACCTACACCCCATCGCATCCTGTCACCTGCACTCAAGTACTGTCACCCACACCTCATCACACTCTGTCAACCTCTCACACCCCATCACAATTCACCACCTTCACACACCCCATCACTACATTCCATCACTTTGATTCATGTCACCCACATTTCATCACACGCTATCACCCTCACAGACCCCGTCACCCACACCTTGTTGCATTCTGTCTCCTGCATTCACCCTTTTGCCTGCACACAAACCCTGCCATCTGCATCTCATCATACCCCATCACCCTCACTTATCTGGTCACCTGTGCCCCATTGTATCCTATAAACCACACCACATTACAACCTGTCACCCTCATTCGGTCACCTACATTCCTCTATCATCTGCAAAACACCCTGTCACCTGTACCCCATCATCCTCACACACCGTCACACCCCACTTATCCTCACACATCCCTGTCTTCTGTATTCACCCTGTCATTTTCCCACACACCCTGTCATTCTCACACACCCCATCATATACCATCACCTTTACACGCCCCATCACCTGCACCTCATCACACCCCATCACCCTCACATATCCGATCACTTGCATTCACCCCATCATCTGCACACACTCGCTGCCACTTGCAGCCCATCTCCCTCATGCACCCCATAACCCACTTCATTAACTCTGTCACCTCCACCTCGTCATACGCCATCACATTCTGTCACCTTCACACACCCCATCACCCACACCTTATGGGGGAGGGGCAGCTCCAAGGCAAAGGGCAGGAGATGAGATGCACTGAGGAGCTGGCACTTGAGAGCTTCTTGGCCAAACCAGTCAGGATCACCTGTCAGAGGCTCCAAGATCAACCATTAGATCCCGGTCTACTGGCTGGTGACCACTGCAATACAGGATCACCTCTTACTTACACCACATCCCTTAAACTGCATTACCCATATCCCATCACACCCCTCCATCACCTCCACTCCCTCATGCACACACAAACCATCTCAACTGCACTGTGGCACTCACCAACATGCTGTCTGTCACCTATTCTGTCACCATGTACACACAGACCAACACTGACACTCCTCACTTGTGCCATAGCACTTTCACCAACTTCTACACCTCTCATGCATCCAAACTCCTGCATCCCATCTAATGCACCTCAACAGCTACGCAATATCATACACACTGTCGGCTACACCCTGCCACATGCACACATTGGCATACTAACACACCACCTCCTATTGGCTACACCCCATCTCTTAACCCTTGTTGCGCACACATCACCTAAACCACATCACACACACACTGACAGTGACATCTACAACTCAACAGCTTACACTGTATCTCATCTAAACTAACACCCTCATACACCCTGTCACACGCTGACCCTATGTCCCATCAGCTATAGGCAGTAACACTGACACCCCATCATACACACACTGACACATCCCAATCTGACACCTATGCTCATGACATGCACACACGGACATCTAACCCCACCAGACAGCCACAAACTCATCCCAGCACTAACACCAATGTCTAATCCCCACACACTGACATAATCCTGTCACCTTAACCCTACTGCACCCCACTGTATACTCAGTGCCCCAGTGCCAACAGCTACCCTGCTACAGATCTTCACACATCCTGATACAATCCCAGCAGCTTCATTCTGTGACCCGCTCCAATGCAACAGCTACATCCAATCAGACTGACACCAACACCCTATACACTACAGCATGCTGTCACTGACCCCCTATGCAAGCACAGCACCTACACACTGATATGCCTACATATCGTCACACACACAGCCCAACAGCTAGAGGCCAGAACACCCCTGGATATACAGACAAAATGACTAGACCCCAAACTCTATCCACATACTCCCACAACCCCAAGACATCACAACATACACAACCCACAACAGTACACATTCACAACTATTCAATGCCTACAGGCATGAACTCTCCAACATGAATCCCCTCTGGCTAACCCAGGGTATGTCTACACTACCCCGCTAGTTCGAACTAGCGGGGTAGTGTAGACATACCCTGGGTTAGCCAGAGGGGATTCATGTTGGAGAGTTCATGCCTGTAGGCATTGAATAGTTGTGAATGTGTACTGTTGTGGGTTGTGTATGTTGTGATGTCTTGGGGTTGTGGGAGTATGTGGATAGAGTTTGGGGTCTAGTCATTTTGTCTGTATATCCAGGGGTGTTCTGGCCTCTAGCTGTTGGGCTGTGTGTGTGACGATATGTAGGCATATCAGTGTGTAGGTGCTGTGCTTGCATAGGGGGTCAGTGACAGCATGCTGTAGTGTATAGGGTGTTGGTGTCAGTCTGATTGGATGTAGCTGTTGCATTGGAGCGGGTCACAGAATGAAGCT